TGTAGTTTAGTTAATAGTATTGTGCCAGTATTACTTTCTTAGTTTTTATAACTGTACCATGGTTATGTATGGTGAAGGGTATGTGCAAACTCCCTAAACTATCTTTACTATCTCTGTGAGACTAAGATTATTTCAAAATAAGAAATCCTGTATGTATGGAAATGGAAAAAAATATGTGCAAAATCATTTAACTGGTATCATCAGGTAGTGATGAAATTCCCAAAATTCTAAATATTTTCTTATTTTGACTTTCTGATGGAATAGTTCCATAAGCATAGTAACACTCTTCTTGCCTTACAGTCTGCTGAGTATAATTTAACCCATTCTTGACTCGGATCGTCATCATCAGCCTAGTTATTAAGCCCAGTGGTCGTTTAGGGCCAAGGAATTGACTGAGAAGTTCAGAGTTCTTTGACACTACCCTATGTAGCTTGAAGATCTTGCGTCAGTTTTTACAAGTTTTTGGTTGTTGGTTGTTTTGTCTCCAGTATTCTCACTGTCCACTATCTGTTCTGACAGCTTCTGAGATGCCTTTCTTTTTCTGTGATAGTTACTGCTTCTATTTTCTCTAATATTCTACTTCAATTTTTCTCTAATATCTTGTTAGCAGAAATCACCTGTATTGAAGTGTTCATGCCTGTACCTAATCCATTAGATTAAATAACAATGCCCTGGCCCACCAGTTGCATACAGTTAGTACGGTGACTTCAGCCCCCCATGACAAGCAGTCCCTGTTCATCTGGAGATGCAGCATATGTGGTGGTTACAGTTAAGGGCTCTGCTGCCTGGGCTTAATTTCCCTCTGTGTTCTCTAACTGTGTGGCTCTGGGAAAGTCCCTTTTCTTCTCTGTCTCAGTTTCCTCATCTATAAAATGGGGCTGATCATAATGCCTGCATCAAGGGTGCTTATGACTAAATAAACAAATACACAGAAAGAGCTTAGAAGGGCACCTCAGTAAATTGCATGTGTTATTGTTGTTGAATATTATTATTATTCCTATCCATCATGTTCAACATGATTTTGAGTTTGGGAGTGAAGGATGCTTCGTCTGTTAACATGACATCTTGGTCCATAGTCCTGTTTAGTAGACTAAACAGACAAAACCAGGGTGTTTCTGATGTTGTTTCCTCCTCATTTCTCAGAAAAGAGATTTCCCTGCTCCCTCTCTTGACAGTTATGAAAAGGGACAGCTGTTGGCTTAGAAATGATTTATCTAGTGATGAGAAATAACGGAAGAAAAAACTATTTTATAGCTGTATGCCATATATTTTGACCAGAATGTAGAGTACATGTATTGAAATGTGTTAAAAAAACAAATGCAAATGTGCCTGAGTGTGTTAGAGAAATAGCTATAATCTTCCTTCAAAGCCCACATCCACATGGGGGAAGGAGCAAAGATAAATCTGGGAAAATGCAGAGTTTGCTCTTGGACATTCTCCAGAGAATCTCAAGTTACCCAAGCAACAGCCAGAAAACTCCTTGGCCCACGGAACATGCTGCTGGGAGGACCTTGGAAGCTGGTCTTGAAGTTTCCCTTGGTGCCAGAGGGCCCATGATGCTGCTCAGAAGAACCAGGACAGTCATCGCTGCTCAGGTCACTTCAGGGGAACGAAGCCCAGGAGATCAAAGTGCCAGGATCCTCCTTGTGCCAGAAAGGAGACCAGGGGAAAGCGACTTGATGGTAGGGGCTCAGAGCCCTGGAATCTGTTAACATCCACAGAATGATCATTTCTACCTCGCAGTATTGTTATGAGGGCTAGTTGAGATCATACACTCAAAACTAAACACTGCAGGGGTGGGGGTTTGGCTGTTATTCATGGATGGGTCCCTAGCACACAGAAATTCCTAAATCACAGCAGCTGCTATCACTATAACACTAATTTTCCTCTAATGTGCCTGCCAGTGTTGCTCCCCTGTCAGTCAGCTGCTAAGGCTTGCCTCCCAAGGTGGTAAGGTACTCCCACATTTGGGGTTTCTTGAAGTCAGAAATGCTCTTCTCAGTGAGGGCTTCTCAGCAGGGGTAGAGATGCCTACAGCTGTGCAGGGGGGAGACAGTGTTTACCAGCTGGGAAACATTTCATGGAGGTGTCAGTGCACCACAAAAACCAGTTTGTGAAATGTTTTAATCCAGATTAAAATTAAGCTGGCGAATAGTGAAAGGAAAATTCTATGGGTGGTAGGGAGAGGGAAACAAATCCATCTACTGTCACATGGTGGGACCCTCCTGGTACAGAAAGGACCTCTAAGTAGAGCTCAGAAAGGTATGTTGAGATAGCAGAATCTCTCTCCATCAGGTAGATGGATTTCTCAGAGATATTCTGTTTCATTTGTTTTAAAGTTTTTATCTAGAAACTTTCTCCCCAAAAAGGAAAGCACCTGAGGAAGAAATAGAACCATAAAGAGCCACATTTTCGAAGTGCAGTGAAGTGATGGGCTGCCGGACTCAGATGTGGTTGGTTCCTGCCTGGAGCAGCCCACCTAGGAGGGCCTGGAGTCTGCAGCTGGTTCTCCCACTACCCCCATGTCTCTACTCCTTGGGCAAAGCTGCCAGGAATGCACAGTGAGCATTGAGCACTGGTCAGAACATTTGGAGTTCCAACCATGGGTCTCTACAGCTGGCCATGTGACCCAGATGACCCCTGGCCTCCCCAAGCTCAGTCTTCTAACCATCAATGAACATTTCAGCTCTGACAGCATATGCCTGGGCCTTTGTTCCTGAGGTTCTTTTGTGGGCAGCTCTACAAGACCTCACCTCTGTATTAGAACATCTTATCATAGCAGGGTACAGGCCATGCAATCCCTCTGCTTGTCAAGGGGATTGTCAGTGTAGCATTGAGTTGCCAATTGTGAAGACAACTGCCCCAGGCTCCCAGGAGACCAGCCTCCTCCCCACAGGTGCTTCTAGTCTCCACTGGCCTTCCAGCCCCTTCTAGGGAAGTCTTTGCAGAGGGTGCAGAGCCCCCAAGTGTCTTCAGTGTGCCCTCTGCTGCCCAATAGGTTTGATGGTCACTTTTGCATATTCATGGCCCTACCTGCAAAGAACATCTTATACAGCCAGGAAAGCCAGTGTGCTATGGGGAATACCTGAGGAGCAGATGGCCACCACTGCCACCACCACTGCCGCTTCTGCTGCTGCTTCCCTCTCCTTCTCCTCTTCCTCCCTGCCCACCTTCCCCTTCCCTTTCTCCTTCTCCTCCTCCTCTTCCCCCTCCCCGTCTCCCTTCTTTTTTTTTTTTTGAGTCAGGATCTCACTCTGTTACCCAGGCTGGATTGCAGTGTGGTTATGGCTCTTTGCCACCTCAACCTCCTGGGCTCAGGCAAGCCTTCTCCCTTAGCCTCCTCAGTAGCCGGGACTACAGGTGCATGTCCCTATGCTAGGTTAAACTTTTGATTTTTTGTAGAGACAAGTTTTCACTATGTTCCCTATGCTTAAACCCCTAGGCTCAAGCAATCCTCTTGCCGCGGCCTCCCAAAGTATTGGGATTACAAATATGAGCCAACATGCCTGGCCTGGGTGGTGTCTTCTTAAAGCACATCAGGGGGACTTGAGAAGAGAAAAATGTCTTCTTCATTGGAAATTGTTAGTTGTTGTCTTAATGACAATTTCTAGGTTATTAGATCACATTCAGAATAACTTTATTAAGGGCTATACTATGAGCCAGGACCTATGCTAGGCTATAAATATACTTATTTCATTTAATTCTTATAAAATATCTTCAAGAAAAGTGTCATCACTCTCATTTTGCAGATGAGGGAACTGGGATGAAGCGATTTGAATGAGGTCTCCAAACTATTAAGTGATTGAGCTAGTGTTCGAGCCCTAGTTTGTGAGAAATGAAAGCTTTTCTCTTTCTACTATACCTGCCAGTCTCAAGTGTTACCTTCTCTTTTCTGGGTCAGTTAATTCCTATAAACTTTTAAGAATTCTTAGATCTGTGAACATATACTAGTTTCACGAGACTAGCTCAGTAGCATGTAGAGCTCAAGAACCTTGGATGAGTATCCTAGAATAAGTTGAAGTAGCCAATTTGTTTACTTAATAACATCTTTATTAAGATGTAATCCACAGCTGAGGTGGAAGGATCACCGGAGCCCAGCAGGTCGAGGCTGCTGTGGCCGGGAGCATGCCACTGCACTCCAGTTCAGTCTGGGTGACACAGTGAGTCTCCAACTCCAAAAAAAAAAAAAAAAAAAGATGTATGTGACAAGGGATTCCTCCCTCTAGGGCCTCTATTTATGAGAACATGGATCCCATTCATGAGGACTCTGTCCTCTTAATTTAACCACCTCCAAGAGTACCCCACCTCTTAATACCACCACCTTGGGATTAAGATTTCAGCATATGAATTTTGGGTGAGTGCAAATATTCAGACCACAGCAAACCTTGTATCCATTAGCAGGCACTCCTCATACCTGTTCTCCCCTGCCCCTGGCAACCATTCCTCTGCTTTTCCCATGATACCACTTTCCTGGTGTCCTAAACACCTGGAGATGCCATTCGATGAAATAGGATAATGGGGAGAAGCAGACGGGCAGAAAGGGTTGAGATTAGAGCAGATTGGTAGGTATAGGCCCTTTGATGGGTCAGAAGGTCTAGCACACAGTGCAGTGGAACCCCAACATTCACCTTCTCTGAACATTTCATATAGATGGAATTGCATAATTTGTGACCTTTGTGTCTGACTTCTTTCACTGAGCTTCTATTGCTTGGATAGACCCCAGTTTGTTGATTCATTCATCAATCAGTGGACAGAGTTTCCATTTTGGGGCTTTTGTGGGTAATGCTGCCATGTGTGTTCATGGACAGGTTTTTGTGTGTTTCCATTTCTTCTTTGCCAGTTTGTTTTTAGCTTGTCCTTGAGTGGTTCAGTAAGCCTTCCATTTGTTTGCAGCCATGCTGTGTGATAGGAGATTGCAACAACAACAGTGGATTTGTTTGAATTACGTGTTGTAGTCAGGTTTTCTGAGTATGTTACTATGGTCTGTATTTATCTTGTAGACCTGCCCTTCATGTGGAATCACATTTGCTCCCAAATCTGAAGCTGGTGCAGAAGGAGGAGCTGTTCAAAATGGCTGTCAAGACGAGCATAAAAACAGCACCAAGGTAACAAGCTCATGGCTGTTGTTCCTGTCAGTTCCTCTCCTGGCGCATCCACCTAAGGTGACATTCCTGTCTTGTCAACTTTTTAGTTCTGAGAATAACTTCTTTTAGGTAACACCATTCCATACCTTCTAGTGTTTTGGGTGTTGAGTAGACTAATAAAGAGCAAGACGGAGAGTCAGAATGAGTCATGAGAAATAGAATTATTACATGCTTAACTGGGTGGGACAATGGGCAATAAGAGTTTTTAAATGTGTGGATTAGAGTGTTTGGGGAAGGATTTGTGGGGCTGGAAGCTAGATTCAACATATGGTAGAATATAGATATGCAAAGAGAAGAGGGGATTCTTCAGGATGCGAAATGCACCTGAAGGAAGGTCTGAGTCAAGGCAAGCAACAAGGAGGCTGCCAGAAAAACCAGCCTTCAAGGCCACAGCCAGAACTGGTGCAGAAAGCAGATAAAGCCCAAATCCAAGAGCCTGCCCAGAGGGTTTGTGCAGGCTGACTCCCCAGGGGGCAAGGTCTCTGTCGTCCTCCATCCTTCCACCTTTTGCCACGGGACTGTGAGTGGGTCAAGCCATGTCTCTCACAGCCACCGACGGCACCCACAGCATAAGTCCCTATATTCATACAGCTTCTCCTAAGCCACAGCCTACACAGCTCTGAGTTTCCTTTCCTGGACCCATCCTAGTACTCCTCCTGACCCCCTAAACCTTACTTCCCTGGTACCCTAGTCTGTGATAAGCAAACTCCTAGAACCTTGACTTTTCTTTTCTTTTTTTTTTGAGTCAGAATCTCACTCTGTCACCCAGACTGGAGTGCAATGACATGCTCATGGCCTCTGCAGCTTCAACCTGCTGAACTCAGGCAATCTTTCTGCCTCTTCCTTCTAAGTAGCTGGAACTGCAGGTGCATGCTACCACGCCCAGCTAATTTTTTGATTTATTATAGAGACAAGGTCTCACCAAGTTGCCCAGGTTGGTCTTGAATCGCTGAGCTCAGGCAGTCCTCTCGCCTCTGCCTCTCAAAGTTCTGGGATTACAGTCTTGAGCCACTGAGCCCAGCCGATTCTTTACTTTCTCTCTACCTCCTAAGTGACCCTTCCCATGATACCACTTTCCTGGTGTCCTAAACACCTGGAGATGCCATTTGATGAAATAGGATAATGGGGAGAAGCAGACTGGCAGAAAGGGTTGAGATTAGAGCAGATTAGGCCCTTTGGTGGGTCAGAAGGTCTAGCACATAGTGCAGTGGAACCCCAACATGGCAGAGGTCAGGGATGGGGGCAAGCATGCATTTCCCACACCACTTCACTTTCTGTGTTTGCGTCCTCTTTGTCTTGAGGCAGGCTTCTGGAGGACCTAATTCCAAAACTCAAAATGGACTTCTGAGCCCTCCCCAAGAGGAGAAGCTCACCAACAGTCAGACCTCTCTGTGTGAGATCTTACAGGAAAAGGGAAAGTGGGCCGGGGTAAGCTTGGACCAATCAGCTCTCCTTCCACTGAGATTCAAGAACATCAGGGAGAAAACAGATGCCCATTTTGTGGACGTTATCAAAGAAGACAGGTAAGATTGGGGCAATCTGCATAGAAAGCAAAGGTTGCAGGTAGAAGTTTCTCCATTTTTTTGAATTGCCTTATCTCCCATGTGTTTGTTCTTTATTATCAAGACATTATTTTATTTTGTAGTACTTTGAAACTTACAGAAAAGTTGCACAAATACTTAGAATTCTCTTGATACTCTTTGCCTGATTTACCAACTTTTAAATTTTGTTTTGTATATCTTATTCTCCTCTTGCACATGTCCTCTTGCTCTTTTCCTCTTTCTCACTCTATATAATTTATTTTGTATTTTTTCTGAACCATTTGCCAATAAGTTGGATGCATCATGCTCTTTACCCCTTCATAGTGTATTTCCTAAAAACAAGAATGCTGTTTTACATAATTATAGTTATTCAATTCAGAAAATGTAGTATTGATGTAATATTTTATCTCATCTACAGTCCACATTCCAGTTTTGTCAATTGATTCAATATGTCTTTGATAACACTTTTCCCTCTAGTCTGGGATCCAGTCTGAGATTGCATGTTGCATTATGTAGTTGTCATGCCTCTTTAGTCTTGTTAAATCTGGGACAGTTCCTCAGCTGTGCTTTGTCTTTCATGATGTTGACACTTTTGAAAAATACAGGCCCAGTGCTTTTATGAAGTTGGATTTGTGTGATATTTACTCATGATTAGATTCAAGCTTTGCATCTCTGGCCAGATACTATAAAAGTGATACTAATCAGGGTGTCATATCCAGAGGCACGGCATGCCCAATTGTTCCTCATTAGTGATACTCATTTTGATTAACTAGACAAGGTGTTGTTGGTTTCTCTGAGCTAGAGTTAGTATTTCTCCAGCGATCCGTCCACCTCAGCCTTCCAAGTAGCCGGAACTACAGGTATGTGCTACCATGCCCAGCTAATTTTTTAAATTATTTATTGTAGAGATGAGGTCTCGCCAAGTTGCCCATGTTGGTCTCAAACTTGCAGGCTCAGGCAACCCACTTGCCTTGACCTCCCAAAGTGCTGGGATTGCAGGCCGAGTCACCAAGCCCGGCCTGCCCCATCACTTTTTGTTTTTTAGCAATTTCTTACTTTCTAGCCCAACAAGAAATTCCAGGCTCATTTTGTTCTTTCCCTGCCCCGAGTGAAGAATCAGCCATTTCTGTAAAAAGAGCCTTGGCTCCTTTTAGTGAGGAATGGTATTTACATGTTAGCTATTAATGTTTAATTTGATGTTGGTGTTATCTAAGAACATATCCTGTGTGGTTTCAGTTCTTACATTAATTGAGACTTGTGTTGTGGCCTCACATGTAGTCTATTTTGTTCAACATACCATGTGTACTTGAAAAAAATGTATATCTGCATTTGTAGGATGTGTGATCCATAAACATCAATTAGGTCCAAGTGGTTGGTAGTATTGTTCAGACATCTATCTCTTTACTTATTTATTTTGTCTACTGTTCTATCAATTGTTGAGAGATAAAGGTGTTAAAATCTGCAACTATAATTATGGAACTATGCATGTCTGTCTTGAATACTGACAATTTGCTTTCAAGTTTTTTTTTTTTTTTTTTTGAGTTGGAGTCTCACTCCGTCATCTAGGCTGGTGTGCAGTGGCCCACTCACAGCCACTCCAGCATCAACCTTCTGGGCTCCGGTGATCCATCCACCTCAGCCTTCTAAGCATCCGGAACTACAGACGCACGCTACCACGCCTGGCTAATTTTTTGATTTATTGTAGGGATGAGATCTCGCCAAGTTGCCCAGGCTGGTCTTGAACCCATGGCTCAGGCAACCACTCACCTTGGCCTCCCAAAGTGCTGGGATTACAGGGTGAGCCACTGAGCTCAGCCTCTTTCAAATATTTTTAAGTTCTTTTTTAGGAGCCTACACATTTATAAGTGTTATATATTCCTGATTAATTGATCCTTTTTATCAGTCTGAAGTGTCCCTCTTTATTATAACTTGGTAATGCTCTCTGTCTTGAAGACTGCTTTATCTGATATTTATATAGTCACTCTTGTCTTCTTATGCTTACTGTTTGCTTTTCTTTTTCTTTTTACTTTTGACCATCTCTGTCTTTATATTTGAAGTGCATCTCTCATGGGTCTTGCTTTTTTATCCATTCTAATAAATATTTTAAAAATAAATATTTTTATTCATATCTCTCTGCATTATTTTTTGTTTATTGGTTGCTCTAGGAGTTACAGATAAACATCCTTAAATTGTTATGGTCTTCTTAGGGTTAATATTGTATCACTTCACTTTAAATGAAGAAATCTTCCAACTGCATAGAGCCTTTACCCTCTTCTCATTTCTTCTGCTGTAGTTGTCATATGTATTACTTCTACATAGATTGTAAACCCTAACCTCTAATTCCAGCTTCTCAGTAATCTTGGATTGGTTTCTGCTGATTGTTTTTCTGTTAAGTATGATAATATTTTTCTATTTCTTTGTATATCTAGTAATTTTTGGATTGTTATAGCATATTGCTTATGATGCTTATAAATTCTGGATTCTCTTATATTCCTCTGTAGAGTATCAATCTTTTATTTGTTTGTTTAGACATGCAGTTAACTTATCCAAATTCACACTCCAGACTGACTTCCCTGAGGTGGGCAGCTGCTGTTCTTTTAGCCTTACTGAGCTGCTTAGAATCTGCTGTACACATGCATATTTGAAGAGTCAGCCAGAGATTTGAGAGTTTATATGCAGAATATAGGGCTCCTCTTCTCTGGTTCTCTTCCTTCTGAGATTTACAACCTTATTTTCCTTCTATGGTTACCCTAAATGCTATTTGGCCACCCTGTATAATGGCTGTCATTAGCCCTTAAGGCCAAAAAACAAAAAAAGATTAAAAATGGGACATTCACCTGGTGGTGTTCCCTTCTCCCAAGTGATTCCCCCTCCGTTCTCTGCCTACTCTGGTCATTCTTCTCGTACCTTCCAGGAGTTGCTTTTATATTTTGTCTGAGTTTATAGTTGTTATCTGTGAAAGAATGGTCCTAAAGGGGCTATCTTTCATTCCCAGAAGTGGAATCTCCCAATATTAATTTAAAAGAAGCAGGACAGCTTATAGCTGTGTTAATTTTAATTCTGCTACTTGGCTGCTAAAATGTGACCATTGCACACCCTCCTTGCAGCTGCTTTGTCTTTTCCTCTCCCCATACTTCCTGAGTGTAAGGAAGGGAGAGAGTCATCATCAAGGAACAGAATTTTTTTTCTTTTCTGAATCTGAGAATGTAGTACATTAGTACTACATGAGTCCACCAAGTTCCAAGGAAAAGAAGGTTCGTATATGGTGAGCCCTACTTTATGTTGGGCACATGCTAGGTACTTTTCATATTTTATCTGATGTAATTCTAATAGTTACTGTATGAGGGAGACAGACTATAATACCACAGCTATATTTGTCTTCTAAAATCATATTAGCATTCCCTTAAGTTTATAGTAATTTTCTGCAGGATAAAAAGGATATTACTATTTGCTGGCAGTTCATAAAAGAATGAAAGAGTCATGTAAAGCAGGTTTGATTTCTCTGCTATTAAAATCATTGAGGTTTTTTTTTTTCAGGTTTCCCACAAAATCTGCACATATGACAATAGTACCAAAATTACACTAACTATAAACACAATTTTGTCATAACAACCTGCTAGTTTTTATGGTGGTAATTACTGTCAGTACTCTGAGTGACAAGACAGCCAGTTCTGAATTATGCTTTCATTTGAAGTCTGCAAATCAATATAAGCACTCTCAATACAGGTATCTGCTGATTCTTCATAAAAGCTTATCTCACAGAACAAAAAAAAGCTGTCGCCATCTTCTAATCTTGGATATTAGGAATGTGTTTTCAAAAGCAAGGTTCTAATGATGTGTGTTATAATTATGAGAGGTGGTAATTCTTTAGTGGAGGTGAAACATAAAATATGATTTTGTTTAGAAACACACGAGACTTTCCAGAGATATGTGTTAAGAAGGGGTGGTGGAGCAATGTCTGTTACCTAGTGACTTTTAGATGCAGCTGTTGTGATGTGCCTAATGAACAGCATTTAGGAGCTAATTGTGATCTTCTGATAAAATAAATGCGACTGTCCTGGATATTGATCAACTGCATTTATTATGTCTTCTAGCCTGATGAAAGATTATTTTTTTAAGCCACCCATTAATCAATTCAGCCTGAGCTTCCTGGATCAGGAGCTAGAACGATCCTATAGGACCAGCTATCAAGAAGAGGTGTGTCTTTCCTTGTAATTTTACTAAAAAAATGTGTTATTATCACTGGGTTGTTCACTATTTGTTTTGTACTCTAGCAAGGATAGGAAAATGAAGGATAATATTGACTTCCCACAATCTATAAACCCTAAGTGGCAACTGTATATGAATTTATCTTTGCAAGGGAGAAAAGCTCCCACCTTTCTGTGGTCTTTTGTCTTAAAGCCCAGCCTTGTTGTTGCCAGAACCCTTCCTCTGCAGCTGTTACCTCCCGGATCCTGTGGCTGTCCCTAGCCCTGGAGGACCCTAACCCACCTGTCCTGGAAGGGAGCCCCTGCCCACCTGTCCTGAATTTTTGGGCAAGACTTCGCTACCTGTTGTCCTGACTGCATTCTTCCCCCCTGAAGTGGGCCAGCAGTCCAGGAGGCCTTTACCTCTGTCCTTAACACTGGCTCCACCTTCCCTCTCCTACTTCCATTCCCTTAATCCAAGTTGTACCTGATCTTTCAGTCTAAACATCACTTCCTCCAAGAAATTCCCTGTGACCCTCAGACTGGATTTAATTCCCCTGCATACTTTTTCTCTGTGTCGCCCTCCACCCCCATTTTGAAATCTTGTGTGGTTCTTGGATCATATACTTCCCTCTCTGGACACTGCCCTTAATGAGGCAGGACCTTGTCCTTCATTCTCCTCTCTGGTTTGAATTCTAAGCAGCCAAGTCACTGCCTTCTTTCCTCTGGGCCCAAACCTAACCTCTCTGAATGTTCCCAAGTAAAAAAAATGCAAATCCTTCCCACCCCAAAACAAAAAGGATTTCTCTCTCAAATTCTGTTTGTTCCTTCAGCAGGTCTTTATTAAATATCTGTTGTGTCCAGGCACTGGCCTGGGCTGTAGAGAGTCGGTTCATACCTTGTGGGTTGGAGGTGCCACTTCCGTCAACCTTCAAGGGATAAATATCTGTTAGTCCCTTGAAGGGATTAAATATCTGTTAGTATCTCACACTTCCTTGTGAATCAGTTGGTGGCCTGTAAGGCAAAATATTGTCTCATTTAATCCTCACAACAACCCTTTAAGGAAACTGATGATTATCCTCATTTACCAAAGAGAAAGCCAACGCTAAGAAAGGCTGAGTGGGTGGCTCACAGTCTCATAGCTGGGGGTGGACATCAGTAGTCTGGCTTCCAAACTAGGCATCTCGGCCACTCCTCATGCACTGCTCAACCTCCCGTACAGGAAGCCAGACTGCTGATGTCCACCCCTTCACCACCCATTCCTCCAGACTCCAAGTGTTTACTGAGCATCTGCTCTGCCAGGCACTGTTCTCATTGTGGGGACAGAGAGATGAAACACACACCCTGGCCCCAGACTGAGAGTGTAAAGGGAGGTAGCTCTTGAGTCCACTCCAGTGGGAAGGTCAGGAATTGACCAAATGCAGGAAAAGGGAACATTTTGGAGGAAGGGACCAGCACCCACAAACCTTAGAAATACAAAAGAGCCTCGTGTGTTCAGAGTATTGCAGGTACTTCCAGGGCCATGGTGGGTGGGGCAGGAGGTGGGCAGGGACCGGAAATGGCTCCCATGGCAGGACCATTATGCTGAAGGCCAGAGGGAGCTGCTGGAGGATTTGGAACAGGAGGTGGCACCATCAGATTGTTTTATAAAGGTCACACAGCTGATTTGTGGGGAATGCTGGAGACTGGACAAGACTGGAGGCTGCGTGATAGCTGGGTACATCTGAGGCCTATTCAGATCCGAAGCCCATCCAATGCAGGGTCAGGGTGGAAAGGAAAGGGGAGACGCAGGGACAGGGTCCTCCTCAGCCAGTCCCCACGTCTAGGTGCTCACTGTGCTTAGTGCTCATGTTGGTGGTCTCTTAGGTGAGCATCCCACCTCCCTTGGGGTCCAGAGGGAAATAAAGCTTCCTCCACACTGCAGCAAACCTGCTGGAACATGGCAGCAGGCTCATGGCCCCCTCTGGCTCATGCGGGTGAGCTATAGCAAAGCCCTGGCTGTTTCCCTGAATACTAGATGGGTCCTTAGAGAGAGAGAGAGGGGACATGTGTGTGCATCTGGGAAGGTGGGCTGGCACGGGCAGCATCACCTGAAATTCTCACACCTTCTGATGGGACTTCAGAGGCTGGGACCAGATTGATCCTCTGGGGCACATGGACACCTACAGAGCTCCAAGTTTCTTGGAGAGAATTTGGACCCAAGTCCTGCTCCCAGGTTGCCCCAGGAGTGTCTAGGCTGACATCAGGGCAGATTGATGGCTTTGTACCCACTGTCCCACCTACCACCCTCTCCCCTCCCACCCAGCTCCCAGGACCCAGGGTGCAGCCAAGGTACCCAAAACCAGGTCATCCTGAAAGAAACATGCGCCAGACCAAGGAAGGACAGGGCCTTTCTGTTCCCTGTGCCTCCAGTCCCCACACCCAGATGGAGCCCAGCTGGGATGCTGAGTGGATACACGTTGCCCCTTGGGAATTGCCAGAAGGTTGCAATGCCAAACAGAAAGCAACTCAAATGGTCTGTGTCTCTCTTTCTCTCAATTATAGTCCGTGCCTTTAGGTCTTGTGCCTTCATCCTGAGAGGCCCTAGGATGAGCTAGGGGTGCACGCAGGACACAGCCTGGCTTCTCATTCCTATGTGACCTCGGGGCAGCCACTGGCCATGGCTTCCCCACTTGCACACTGAGATCAGTAGTATTTCCTTCCACAGGGTCTGTTGTGAGCATTGGTAGGGCCACACGGGACCTGGATCTTAGATACATAGCTATTTCCACATAGTTATTTCCTCTCCCCTTAATTCCCTCACACTGCGCACATGCCTCTTTGTTAGACTTGACACCTTCGTGCATTTCATATTCCTGTCCCTTCCCACCATTAGCATGTGAGCCGCCCAAGGGCATTGTTTTGTGTCCACCCCTGGCCCTGGGGTGGAACCAGGCCAGAGCAGGCTCCTGAATGAACACTCTTGTCTATCTGCTGTGAGCCCTCCCTGCACATGCAGGAGCTTCTGTCTGCTGCTGGTACTTTGATCCCTGCCTGGTCCTTCTGTCAGGAAGCCAGCCTTTGCACACCCTGAACCTGGGACCTAGCCATTCAGTGGAAGCTTCTAGCACATTGCTTCCATGTGACTGCCTTTACAGATGCAGAGTCATCTGCTTTGCCAGGCGGTAACTTTCAGGCTAAATGTATGATGTGTCTATGAGGACGTGCTAGTTTATAATCAGTTGCCTTGTGACCCTGGGCAAGTTTCTTAACTTCTCTGTGCCTTAGTTGCCTCAGTGTTAAATGGGGTACTCGCAGGGAGATGGCCCACCTAAAGCCTTACCACCTGTACCTCGTCCAGAGTAGGCAAGCGCTCTGTAAATGTTGACTTTTTTTCCCATCTGAATTATGTTCCACAGTCATCAGTGGCCACTTTAGTCATTCTGTTCCACTCCTGCCCAACAGGTTATAAAGAATTCTCCCGTGAAGACTTTTGCCAGTGCCACCTTCAGCTCCCTCTTGGATGTGTTTTTGTCAGCAACGGTGTTTCTGATTCTTTCCATCACCTGCTTTCTGAAGTATGGGGCTGCCACTGTGCCTCCCCCACCTGCTGCCCTGGCCATCTTTGGCACAGCCCTACTGCTGGAGGTGCTGTCCCTTGTGGTGTCCATCAGGTAACTCACCCAGCGCTGGGCCAGGTCTCCAAAGCTCTTAGCCGTTAGCGCCCTCTTCTGGCTCCACAGTTATAGCTGAGCAGTCTGCAGCACACAGACTAGTCCAAAGCCTTACTGTCAGTCAGTCCAAAGTCCTTACTGGCTATTTCTGGAGGTTGCCCCCATTTCCTTCTGACCCCCAGACCCACATCACGGCTTCCTCCCCCTTGCCCTTGGCACATGTGGGACCCTACCTCCCTAGAGAGGGAAGTGCCTGCAGGCCCAACTGCCACCAGCTCACCCCAGGATCTGCAGGGTCAGAGACCTAAAAAGAGAGAGTGGGAAGATAGGAAATGAGAAAAAGAGGAAAGAAAGGAAAAGAAGTGTGCAGGGTGTGAATGGTAGCCGGCCAGCAATCCGCAGGCGCCTCTTCTGAATGCAAGAGCCAAACCTAAAACCCTTAGAGGAAATTACAGGCAGGGCTCTTCAAGAGCTTGAACTAGGCGGTGGGCTCTTAGTAGTTAGGTCTGACACTAAAAGCACAAGCAACAAAAGAAAAAATAGATAAGTTCAACGCCATCAGTATTTAAAACTTTAGGCTGCAAAGAATGCCATCAAGAAAGTGATTGAAGGCTGGACACAGTGGCTCATGCCTATAATTCCAGCACTTTAGGCAACTGAGGCAGGAGGATCACTTGACCAGGAATTTGAGACCAACCTGGCAACATAGCTAGACCTTGTCTCTAAACAATAAATAAATTAGTTGGGCTGAGTAGTCCCAGCTACTCAGGAGGCTGAGGCAGAAGGATCACCTGAGCCCAGGAGGCCAAGACTGCAGTGAGCTGTGTTCATACCACTGCACTCCAGCCTGGGAGACGAAGTGAGACCCTGACTCAAAAAAAAGAAAAGAAAAGAAAGTACAGAAAACCCACAGAAAGGGAGGGATATTTGCAGATCAGACCTATGACAAGGGTCTAACATCTGGAATGTATAAAGAACTCCTACAGCCCAATAATAAAAGATAACCCATTTTTAAAAGGACAGAGAATCTGTGTAGATGGCAGGAGCCTTTCTGGGAAGCCAGGCCTCAGGACCAGCCCGTGACACTGAGGAAGCTTGTGGGAACTCTGTGCATCTCTGACCAGGTGTCTACACACAGGGCACTTCATTCATACACACGCAGATCACCAGTGTCATCTGCCTCCTGGACACCACGGCCACCTTATCCAGCCTTGTTACTCTTAGTGAGATGGCTATCAGCCTAGCAAAATCCCATTGGCAATTGCCCCCAGGAGCTGATGATTAAGCAGAAATGAGGAGACAGGCCCTGAACTTGAGTTTCTGCTGCTCTTATCCAATATTTCTGTGCAGAAAAGATGGGTTCGGGTCTGGCCCTGAGGCTTCCAAATGCTGGCTTCTTCCTCTTTGGGGTGGACAAGCTGGAATTCCTGCCTCCTCCCTCCCACCCCCGCCATCCCAGGGTCCCTTTGAGGCCTTTCTTAAGCCACTGGAGCCCAATGACCCTCTCCACAGCACAGCCCTGCCTGACTGTCTTGCCCCCAAATCCTGCCTCAGCCCCCTACGTGGGCTTCTGGGACCCCTCCCAAAGAAGCTGCTCACAAGCAGGCCCGTCCCAGCATCTGCTTCCACTGAACTCAAACCAAGACATCCTCAGGTCCCTGGTTTTTTAACTTTTTAAAGTAGCTTTGTTGTGATATAATTTATATACACTAAATTCATTCAAGTATATAATTTAGTGATTTTTAAGTAAATTTACAGACTTGTACAAACATCACCACAATATAATTTTAGGACATTTCTGTTACTCTCAAAAGAAACCCCTTCCCATTTAGTCACTCCCCTCACGTCCACTCCCCCTAGTCACCCTAGGATGCCCTCTAACACAGACATCTACAGCCTCTTGATTGTTCTGAAGCTAGCACTGCCTTCTGTACCTTTCTTCTTTAACCCCTTAGTCATTATTTATTTCCGTTCCTTGGGACTCCATTCTAAGGAATGGAGGCCAACTCTGGCTTAGAGACTGCCGAGGGCTGGGGGTGTGGTGTGCAGGGCCCGTCTACACCAACACACTTGTAAGCATCTTATGAGGGAATTGGCTGCGGTGCTCCTGAGCAAGCATCTGGTGGGATTTAGTCCAGTTTACCAGGAATTGTCAAGCCTAGGAAAGGTGGGACCCTGAAAGATTCCCTTGAGCTAAGGGCCTGTTTAGAATTCCAGATCCACAGGAACCTACACTGAGGGACATATAGGTGTCCCAGGGCAGCTTTGTCAGTCACTGGCCTGGAGCCTCACCTGCCTGGTCCAGAAGGCCTCCACAGCTCAGCTTAGGTCAAGCCCCCCATCTCCACTCCAGCCCTGGTCAAGCGTGAGGACAGCTGATCTCGTCCTCGGATTTCTATAGACTTGAAGATTATCATGAAGGACCCCCAGGCTTCTCACTCCTGGCTGGAGACTTGGTTCCCTCTGTCTCTCCTCACAGGGCCTCTGTATTCTGCCTCTGAGCATATTTGTGGTTATTCTTGGAAATATCCCAAGGTATTTGTTATCCTTTAGATATATTAGGCAGCCAGAGCTGTCCAGCATCCTAAAAGGGTCAGACTGTGCCTGAATCTGTGTGGGAAGTGGTTGAAAAGTCAGAATTTTCTTGCCAGGGCCACACTCAGCTGAAGTGGTTGAAGCACTGTGGGTGTTCAGGGCTGCAGGCTTGGACACCTAGGTGTACAAGAAGCATTTGTGTTGTTGACTCACAGCAGCAGTCCCGGCTTTTCCAGAGGCCAGGACAGAGGGCCTGTCCCAGGTCTGCAGCAGCAGTGTTGAGAGAACTGGTCTCCCCAGAACATATGAGAAGGAGGATCCCCATCCCCTCTCTTTAGCTTCCCCCTGTAGGCCTCACCATGCCTCAGGGGTCCCCTCGCTCAGCCAAGACCCTTTTTTCCTCCTCACGGTGGTTTTTGCCCCATATTCTCAGCTCTCCCTTCTTTATAAAAAACTTTATTGTGTCAACACCACTCTCCTGAGATGTAGCCCACTTAAACACATGGTTGCGAAAGGAGTCAATAAATACAATTGCTGTAATAAGAAGGACAAACAGAAAGAAAGTTATTTAAAATGAAACATAGTGCTTTGCCTTATGTATGCCAGGGCACAGCTGCCTGGGAAATCGTAACAAAGCCATTAGCTGTTTGCCCTCCAAGCTCTATCACTGTGAATGTGATAGCTACAAACGCAGATGGCACGGGTGTATGGGTTTGGTGGCTCAAGTATCATGAACTGTGTTCAGTCTGTGACATGATTTTCTGAAACACTGAATGACCCTTGGTGATGATCCAACCAGGACAAAGATCATCTCAGCTTGGTTTGCACAGAAGCTTCCTTCCTGGAAAATTCAGTGTGCACTACCACCCAGAAGCACTTTCTGTGTATACAAAACAGTCAGGCTCTAGGCTGAGACAGTGTCAGGAGCTTTCTCTTCTGTGGGTGCTCATGGGCATGGTCACTTTGTAGGATGTGGGGTAGAGCCTCACTGTGTGGACATCTCTGTCCCTGGCTGCTGCAACAACCACACAGTCCCCACAAAGCTCCAGGACACCTCCAGAACCACCCTGACAGAGATCTCCTGTCCAGGTGACAGCAGGGTGGCAGCTCCCAATAGATTTGACTCAGGACCTGTAATATTCTTATGTGCTCCATTAGACCAGTGAGGCATGTGCATTTCACAAGCACATTTTGTCAGAATACAACAAGTGATCCTAAAATAAGCCATGGTGAGCTAAGCAAGCCCAGCTTGCCCGCCTTCTGCCAAAAATGAGGAAGGTGGGGACTCTGCCTACCCCTTTGCCTGCCCCAGGGACAGTGGCAGCACAGAAAAGGGTTGGACACTGGCTGCGGCCCTACCCCCATATCCTGGCAGGGGACCCACGCCAGACCCTGACAACTCCTGCTAACCCCTGTCCCTGTCCCAGGATGGTGTTCTTCCTGGAGGACGTCATGGCTTGCACCAAGCGCCTGCTGGAGTGGATCGCTGGCTGGCTGCCACGCCACTGCGTCGGGGCCATCCTTGTGTCGCTGCCTGCACTCGCTGTCTACTCACACGTCACCTCCGAATTTGCGACAAACATACACGTAAATAAAGGCGTTATGTTCTTCTGGACTCCCTAATCTCCCTTTTTCTTTCAATTACTTGGGGCAGCAACTTAAAAATAGACCTTTAGACAGATACAAGCTCTGCTACTGCCTTGAGCCTGCCTTTATAGGAGATGGCTTAGCATGGGCTATCTGGATGCAGATGCCTTGTTGTTGACCAGGCTGGGAAGAGTCCCCAGTGGGCATGAGTCCCCTCCAGTGTCACTTGGTCTTCACCAAGTTTCAAATCCACTATTTTCCTTCATGCTTTTATAAAGGGGCATCTGAAGAATGTTTCCAAACAATACGAGATAATGTGCATCTGTAGAATTGTGCAGTTGATTTGTACCTGGATCGGTTCCTGCTGATCAACAGGACCTTAGGGTTAAACTCTTTTGAGAGCGAACTGATGCTGTGGTAGATGATAGTTTTGATGCAAGTGAGCATCATATGAGCTGTGGGGCAGGCTGATGGCTTTTGGTACTTTAACCTCAAACCACATTTCAGTGGGCTCATAGCAGGGACCCAGAGAAAAAACTTTTCTTTTCTTTTCTTTTTTTTTTTGAGTTGGAGTCTCACTCTGTCATCCAGTCTGGAGTGTAGTGGCACACTCACAGCCACCCCAGCATCAACCTGCTGGGCTCCAGCAATCCTCCTGCCTCAGCCTTCCAAGTAGCCAGAACTACAGGCATGCACTACCATGCCCAGCTAATTTTTCATTTATTGTAGAGACGAGATCTTGCCAAGTTGCCCAGGCTGGTCTTGAACCCACAGGCGCAGGCAATCTACTCGCCTTGGCCTCCCAAAGTGCTGGGATTACAGGCTGAGCCACCGAGCCCGGCCGGAAAAGCTTTTCGAAGGTAACTGATCACGCGGAGGTAGTTCTCAAATGGGGTGGCCTCCCTTTCCTTTTCACCAAATGACATGTGCCATTTCCACATGTCTGGAGAAGAGTTTAGCACCTGCGCACCTCAGGTGCGGGATAGTAAACCTAAAGAGGTTTGATCTGTCCTTGAAAATGCCAGCTAACCAAAAGTGAGAGTTATTACAAACAAATAAGCAATTTGGTGGTTTCAGTCATATTTTCATATTTTTGTGAGCAGAGGATGCTTTGGGGGCTCAGGTAGAGCTGGGGTGGTGTGTGGGGGCGACAGGATGCTGTCCTTACCCTGCGCCTCTTGCAGTTCTCGGTGTTCTCAGGCTCGGCTGCGCTGATTGCCGTCGTGCACTACTGCAACTTCTGTCAGCTCAGCTCCTGGATGAGGTCCTCCCTTGCCACCGTGGTGGGGGCTGGGCCACTGCTTCTGCTCTACGTCTCCTTGTGCCCAGACAGGTAAGTGACTGGCACTAGTCACGGGCACCCTGGACACAGGGTCACCTTGTCTACACCTTTTCCAGGCCTGGCTGTGCTTGTACATTGGCACTGGTGCCCTCCTCAACAGCAGGTTTTCCGTCACACATTCATGTCACTAAGTGAATAAGATGCCCTAAGAGTAAGTGCAAAAGAAAGGAAACTGCACTCTATATATTTGAATATATTTGAATATAGACATCCTCGGAAGACATGATAAAGCAGTCATGTGCTTGAGCTGACTTCTTGTGAGTGAATTGGAATCTAAGTAAGACCTGAAGCGTTTTATGCAAGATGATCAAAAACATGAAAGAATAGAGGTGCAGAGAGACACAGACGTGAGAAGGAAGTTGGTCTGACGTTAATTGAAATAGGGTCTATGTACCAGGACAGAGTACAGACTGTGGAAGGAGGGGAAATGAAGACATTAGGTGATCTTGCAAGTGACCTGGGCCTTACTTATACATATTACATCAAAACAGTTTCCATATTTTGACATGAGATATAGGAATAATGACCAGTCACTGGACATATGTCTTTTATCCTGAGGTACTCCACATTCTGAGGAGAACTTTCAGTCTCTGGTACTCAGAATGGCCTTCACAATTGTGTCACTGACAGGAGGACTGAGGAATAGAGAGGACAGCTTGGACAAAGAAAAAGGAGCCAGGGGTAGACCTCTGAGGCCAAGATCAGTTCTTATTACTGTGCTACAAAAAATATAAAAATAAATAGGATGGCAATTATAGATACTGTATGGAACATATCCTAACAGTGAAATCCAGTGATATCCCTGTCTTTCATGTGTTCTGCTAATTGAATGATGTTTGGTTCTTAGTTTGTTAAAATGAGTCTCAAATTGCCTTTTGCACATTTGCAACCAGTTTGGGGCTTTTAAGCTTTTTTAGCTAAATATGTAGTTGAAAACACAGTAATACCTTGGATAGCAAAATGCACACAGTGGGTAATTTAAACAGTTTATGATATGTTAAACCCACTAAACTTCTCTTTGTGTAACAAAATTCTAAATATTGGGTGTTTCTACAACTGCTTATAAAAGTGTTTCACTATTAGCATGTATTGAAGAACTGCCTGTTTACAATTAGGAGGGTTCAGGTAAAAAGAATATTTTGAAGTTACATAGGACATTTCTTCATTGTGCTTGCAGGACATTTAAATCCTGGCTCCCAGCCAGGCTTGGTGGTTCAGCTTGTAATCCCAGCACTTTGGGAGGACGAGGCAAGTGGATTGCCTGAGCCTGTGGGTTCGAGACCAGCCTGGGCAACTTGGCAAGACCTTGTCTCTACAATAGAAAAAAATTAGCTGGGCATGATAGTGCGTTCCTGTAGTTCTGGCTACTTGGAAGGCTGAGGCAGAAGGATTGCTGGAGCCCGGCAGGACTACGCTGGGGTGGCCATGAGTGTGCCACTGCACTCCAGCCTGGGTGACAGAGTGAGACTTCAACTCAAAACAAAACAAAACAAAAACAAAAATAAATTCTGGCTCCCTACATGATTATGACAGCTAGTGGGGATTCCCCCTCAGTGTTTCCAAAATGCCCCAGGAGTGGCATTACTGTCGCTAAGGACCACTGCTTCAATAAATTCAAAAGCAAAGCATGATGCAGCCTGCCACAATATCAGCAGTTTCAAATGCAAAGCTCTATGAGTATTAACAAAGCAGTGGTCAGTAATGGACAGACTAAGCATTCTTCCTCAATTTACTTGATAAAATAATGACAATATGAAAGATATTCAAATTTCTTGGAAATGAAGATCAAAAAGAGAATTTAAAGTAAGACTGTCTTCGGTATTTGAAAGGAAACTCTAACGAATAGTTAAATTACTTCAAGCAAAATAGCACAGACTTTTATTGTTCTGAAGGTGTGGCTATCTGGAATTATGTTCATATAGAGCTCTTTACCAAGAGTATGAAATTCAGCAATCTGTCTTTTAAGCTTTTAGATCCTTCACAAGTACCTCTCCAGCCACTCACAGTGTTCTTTAGTCATGGCTGTAGGGCTTTTTCATCTGGGCTTAGAGAGCCAGAGTGGTGAGGGACCTCTTCATTGCCGTTTGCCCACAATTCAAATAGCAGATCTGGGTTAGGGCTGGGGGTTGACATTCTCCTGGCCCAGGACACCTCCACCCACGTAAGACCCTTGGAGCCTCCACCCGTCAACACTGCTGTATCACTTCAGGGTAGGCAGGATGTGGGATGGTAAACAAGGACATAAGCTCAACTTTTACAAAAGGGGGGCTCTGCAGAGAACTGCACCCAGGATTGGGGGACACAGAAGTGAAAGAAGAGGTGCGTGCAGGTGGCTCATGATGATGTTGCAGTCACATCTAAAAAAGGAAAAAAGGAAAGTTGTTTGTTTAAGCTCTTCTCAGGTTGCTTTCTAGAATTCCTTCTCTGCTTTTTATAATAATATTTTTCTGCATTTTAATTTCAGTTCCGTAGTAATTTCACCCCTTGATGTAGCACAGAACTTCAGGTAAGCTTTTAATATTGTGCCTATATCTCAGTAAACAAGATTGACTGTATTATTCCTGCTTATTTCTAAGAGTCCTAGAAATAGTTGTATCTTAAATAAAATGAGCAATATATACACTCTTTTTTTTTTTTTTGAGTTGGAGTCTCACTCTGTCATCCAGATTGGAGTGCAGTCGGCTGCTCCCGGCCACCGCAGCCTCAACCTGCTGGGCTCTGGTGATCCTTCTGCCTCAGCCTTCCAAGTAGCTGGAACTACAGGCGCGTGCTACCACACCCGGCTCATTTTTGATTTATTGTAGAGATGAGGTCTCGCCAAGTTGCCCAGGCGGGTCTTGAATATATGCACTCTTAAAAGATAAGACTGCCCGGGCATGGTGGCTCAAGCCTGTAATCCCAGCACTTTGGGAGGCCAAGGTGAAGGGATTGCCTAAGCCCACGGGTTTGAGAATAGCCTGAGCAACTTGGTGAGACCTCATGTCTACAATAAATAAAAAAATTAGCTGAGTGTGGTAGAGCACACTTGTAATTCTGGCTACTTGGAAGGCTGAGGTGGAGGTATAGCCTGAGTCCAGCAGGTCGATGCTAGGGTGGCCTGAGTGTGCCACTGCACTCCAACCAGGACAACAGAGTGAGACTCCAACTCAAAAAAAGTTAAAAAATAAAAATAAAAAGAGAAAGCAGAAAACGTCTACTTGTTGAAATATAAGATTGTGGTCATAATATCTAATTGAAAATTTTAAATTACTCTATTTTGTTATTAAGGCATATATTTGGTCAACCCCTTTGGGTCTCCTCCTGCTGTGGGAGCTTTTCTGTCCTCCTAATAAATCCTGCTTTCTCAGAAAAAAAAAAAAAAAGACATATATTTGAATGGGTGTAATTTCATGTAAAACTTTAGCATGCTACAGAGGAACTCTCACAAATCAAAGAAGAAAGTTATTTTATTCCCGAAAATATTTTTAAATAACTGACTAGAAATTTGAAATAATAAATATTAGACACTTGCTTTACTATAAACATCAAAATAAATTCTAAATAAATTGAAGAGTCAAAAATAAAAAACTATATAAAATCTCGAGAAAATATAATTAAATAATATTTAGTTATTTAATTAAACATGAAGACACTAAGATAACTTTCTAGGCTTACAAATAATAAATAGAAAGCAAAGAAAAGACTGATTGATAAATTAGGAAGAGAGAAAATCAAAGCAGAGAAATATTTGTGAAACTGTTATATAAAGAGCAAATTAAGACCTGCATAAGTGGCAAAAAAAAAATTACGAAAGAGGAAATGTCGATAGAGAATAAATGTGGAAGTGTACTCAATATCATTACTACTAAAGTCATTACACATTTAAATTACTACAAAATATCTTTGTTTCTTTTTTTTTAACCAATCTTGACTGGAATGGTCTTTTCTTTATTGACAAATAATAAGTCATTTTGGGCTTTTAAATTGGACTTTCAAAAAGTTGTAATGCAAATACCCAGTGCAAGCAAGGATGTGGTGCATTCATAAATTGCTGGTGTTGGTTAATTTCTTTTTAGCTACCAGGCACTTAAAATATAAGTTTACGTGATCCTCACAATACCTGACACAGGTGGCTTTGTCTTCATTTTCCAGATGAGGAAACTGAAGCTCAGAGAAGTTAATGAACCTGCCTAAGGTCACACACCTGGCCACTGGCAGTGTTTAAACCCTATCCTCCCTCACTCCCAGGCCATGCTCTTCTTTACATACCTCATCACTTTTCAGACCATTACAATCATTTTGGAAAGCAATTTGCAATTTGACAATCTATTTTAAAAATCATAAAATGCTTACCCTTTGATCTAGTTATTCCTTTTTTGCTTATCTACTGAGAAGATAATTCAGCATAATGCAAAAGCTGCATGCCTAAAAATATTTATCACAATTACTGATAATATTGATTCATAAGCAACTTCAGTCATCAATAATAAAGGAATTAATTAAATTATATATATATACACTCAAATATTGCAACTGGAAAATGCAGCAAATATGGAAAACTTTTTGTTTTTCAGTTATGTGAAATTACATATGTACTATACCTACAACTAAGTATTTAATTTTTTTTTTAAGGTGTAGGATACAATCCAGGATTAGGTATACAATTGATCATCGTATAGGTAAAGTTTGAGCCTCCCTTTGGTCTCCACTTTGCCTGGTTTGAGATCAGGTACCCTTATTGATGTTGTGTGTCCCTCCCCACCCACCTACCCCGGCAGTATCCCGTGACTGCCAGTCCCTTTCGCATAGTATTATGGTAAATATTCAATAGTGTTATGGTAAATATTCAGGGTCCACTTATGAGTGAGAACATGTGGTACTCTGTTCTTTGTTTCTGTGATAGATCACTGAGTATGATAGACTCTAAATCCATCCTAGTCGCTGTGAAGTCCATAAGTTTGTCCTTTATGTATAATATTCCATTGTGTATATATACCACATTTTTTTATCCAGTCCAGTACCAATGGGCAGCACAGTTGGTTCCATGTTTTTGCTATTGTGAGTAGTGCTGCAATAAACATTTGTGTGCAGGTATCTTTTTTGTAGAATGATTTGAGTTCTTCTGGGTGTATTCCCAGCAGAGGGATTGCTGGGTCATATGGAAGGTCAATGTCTAGTTTTTTCAGAAATCACCACACTGTTTACCAAAGAGGTCGCACAAGTTTACATTACCACCAGCAGTTTAGAAGCGTTCTTTTTTTTCTCCGCATCCTTGCTAGCATCTGTTGTTTTATTAATGAAGAACAGTCTGACTGGGATTAGGTGGTATCTCAGTGTGGTTTTGACTTGCATTTCTCTGATGATTAGTGAGGCTGAGCAGTTTTCCATGTATCTGTTGGCTACCCGTATATCTTCTTTTGAGAAGTGTCTATGCATGTCTTTTGTGTACTTTTTAATGGTGCTGTTTGTTTTTTTCCTTTTGACATGTTTGAGTTCCTTGTAGATCCTGGATGTTAGTTAGGCCTTTGTTAGATATATAGTTGGCAAATATTTTTTCCCACTCTGTGGACTGTCTCCCTGCTCTTTTGTTGGTTTCTTTCGCTTTGCAGAAGCTTTTCAGTTTGATGAAGTCCCACTTGTCTATCTTATCTCTTATGGCATGGGCACTTGGGGTTTTAATCAGGAATTGGTTGCCAGTTCCAGTTTCCATAAGGGTGTCTCCTGCAGTTTCCAAGGTTCTTTTAGTTTGAGGCTTTACATTTAGGTCTTTGATCCATTTAGAGTTGATTTTTGTATATGGTGATAGGTAAGGGTATTAAGTATTTAATTATATATATTAAAACATTGTAAGGGATTTAATACTTATAGAATAATGAGTGATGATTACAACTAAAGTATTTGAAAGAAAAACACCTGGCATCTTTTTTTCTAAGTTAACTTTTTTTTACTTCCCCCCATCTGGCCTGCACTTTAAGTTAACTTGTTATTGACAGGTACATATACATATGCACAGAAAAGAACCCAGATCATAAGACTGTAGCTCAATAAATTTTCACAAGCGAACATACCCATTTACCACTCAGACCAAGAAATAGAACATTGTCAGCATTACAGAAGTCCTGCGCCCCCCCAATGGTATCCTGGTGATACCATCTCCCCCTCCACATCCCTACATATAGATTTTATATATGTATGTATATGTATTTAGAGTCAGAGTCTCACTCTGTCAGTCATGCTAGAGTACGGTGGCACAATCATGGCTACCGCAGCCTCAACCTGCTGGGCTCAAGTGATCCTTCCACCTTAGCCTTCCAAGTAGCTGAAACTGTAGGTATGCACCACCACACCTGATTAATTTTTTGATTTATTGTGGAGACAAGATCTTGCCAATTTGCCCAGGCTGGTCTCAAACCCCTGGGCTCAGGCCATCCTCTCACCTCCATTTCCCAAAGTGCTGGAATTGAACATGTGAGCCACCGCACCCAGACTAGGTATAGATTTTAAATGGCACTGAAGCACACCAGATGGTAATAAATGCCATGATTAGCTGGTTAGGGCCATGAGTGGTCTTTGTTTTCTATTTTTCTCTGTTTTTAAGCCCTCTTCTCCATAGTAATGGATTATATCATATTTTACTCTTTCACTTAGGATTTCTTTCTTTTTTTTAAATAAAGATATGGGGTACAAATCAGGGTTAGGTATACAAACATTGATTATGCAGGTACCCTTGATGATGAGGTATGCCCCTGCTTACCCTAGCAGTTTCCCTCAACTGCCAATCCTACTCACCCTCCCCTGACAGTTTCCCATTACTGCCAAATGCTTTCTTGTAGTATTATAATTATTCAAGGTCCATTTATGAGTGAGAACATATGGTACGCTATTCTTTGTTTCTGTGATAGATCACTGAGTATGATCGACTCTAAATCCATCCAAGTTGCTGCGAAGTCCGTATATTTGTCCTTCTTTATGGCTGCGTAATATTCCATTCCGTATATGTACCATGTTTTCTTTATTCAGTCCAGCTTTGATGGGCAACATGGTTGGTTCCATGATTTTGCTATTGTGAATAGAGCTGCAGCAAACATACATGAGCAGGTATCTGTTTTGTAGAATGATTTTGAGTTCCTCCGTGTATATTAACAATAGAGGAATTGCTGGGTCATATGGAAGGTAAATTTCTAGTTGTTTCAGAAATTGCCACACTGTCTTCCAAAGAGGTTGCACTAGTTTGCATTCCCACCAGCAGTGTAGAAGCATTCCTTTTTCTCCACATCCTTGCCAGCATCTGTTATTGTTTTTATTTTATTTTATTTTATTTTATTTTATTTTATTTTTTTTATTTTATTTTTTTGAGTTGGAGACTCACTCTGTCACCCAGACGGGAATGCAGTGGCATGTTCTCAGCCACCACAGCCTCGACCTGATGGACTCTGGCAATCCTTCTGCCTTAGCCTTCCAAGTAGCCAGAACTACAGGCACGTGCTACCACGCCTGGCTAATTTTTGATTTATTGTAGAGATGAGG